CGTCACCGAAGGAGAAGTACGACGTGGCAATTCAAATGGTGCATTTGACAAAGAGAGGGATCATATGTGTCGCATCCACTCATAAAAGGAATGTAAAATTAAGTTAAAAATAGCACATACAAATAATTTATAATTTAATCATATTTTCAATTTTGTTCATATATAATAATTTTTGTTTATATGTAAACAGTTTTGCTATGGAGCTATTAGATGGCTCGATTTATGGAGTCATCCACAGTTATTCACCAATAGTGTAATGACATGTGTCCTACAATAAATACAATTTGGACAAGTATCAATACGTTAAGTAATGGATGGCTCCGTAAGAAAATTATTCAATGGCTCCATAGAATTTTTGTATATGTAAAATGATACATTATATTGAAAATTCCTCCAAATGACCCCGTGAAGAACAGAATTTGTTTAAGTGACCCTTGACCAAAAATGCTACAATTAAAATAAATAACTAATCATATTAAATAGACATTTACTAATATACCCTTAACACAATAAAGGGGTATTTCATTCTTCCTTCTTCATTTTTCCTTCTTCCTTCTTCCCCCTCCGACAATTTCCCGCGAGCAGCAACTGTCGACCTCTCTCTGGTGTCTCTCGTCCGTCCTCCTCTCTCTCGTCCGACCTCCCTCTCTCCGTCGACCTCCTCTCTTGTCCTCTCTCGCGGCCAATCTCTATGGAGCTCGCTCTTCCCGTCAATATCGGTACATGTTTGGTTTTTTTTTAGTTTTTGTCAATTTTTTCTTTTACTTAATTTCCTTGTGTTTGGGTCTTTGATATTCGTGGAGCAAAGTTTTGATTGTGTTATGTGAATTCATTTTATTTTGATAGTTTTGATGAAAGTGAAAATGGTAATAGGTGCACACTATGTGTTTGATGAAATGCTTGTATTATTGAGTTGATAGTAATTGGGTATGCTAATTGTTGTATACTTTGAAGCAATCAATATATTTAGTTTGAATGTTTGTAATATTTGTACCTTCGTTATGCAATAGATTATAACGAATGTAGTCTCGATATTATTTTATTTTCATCCCCGGTCGATGGAATAATTTGTTAATGATTATACCTTAGTTATATATTACAATATGATGAAAGCACTCTCGTTGCAGTGTCGCAATACATATAACGAACCTTATTTTATAAAATAACGATACTTGTTTTTCTTTAGAAATAGATAGAATGAAGATAACATTTCATATGGAACTCTTTACTGCCCGACCTGCTTGGTGTGATAAATGATGTTGACCATGTTATGTATTTTCTTGCCTTCAAAATGATATGAGTTGTTGTTGAGGTTTGGGGTGTAAAGAGGGGATTGTGGGGAGTCTCTGTGGGTGAGGGTTAAGGTGAAGCCATTTGTGATTTGGAGAGTGTATGGAAGGATAAAGAGAAAGAGTGATAGGAGATTAAGATACATGGTTAAATTTGGAGCTATTTTTTGAAGGCTTAGAGTGCAACCAAAGAATTCAAACAAGTATTGACCAGTTATGTACTAAGATTTGATTGTTTGCTGTTTGTGAGAGGATAATATGTTTAGTTATTAAAATATGCCTCTAATATTTTTGGTTCTTTTTCTTTTTGGTGTATTTAATTATGTGATGTGTACTCTGTCTTAATCTCTTTCTAGTTTTCAACCAAATCAATTTTTGTTTTTTTTTTTTGGTGAAAATTAATTGAAAATGCCTTTTGCAAAATGATAAAATTGAAAGCAATGTTTGGTAAATGCAACAGGTGGTGGTGATAGTTTTCATTCAACAGATTATTGCATAGTAAATTCAAAGTTAGAATTAGGGGTGTAATCGAGTCGAACAGATCTAAGCTTGGCTTTATCTGTAGAAAAGTTGATGTTTTTGTTTCGTTCGAACTCAATGTACATATTCATGCAAGTTTTCTAAATCCGTATTTTCGAGTTTCGACCCTTTACCAGCTCGGCTCGACAAAAGTTTTAAGTCAGCTTGTCAAAAAGATAATTATAAATTGAATTTGCAGAACCTAATGTTGAATACATTTTTAGGCTAAGTTTTAGTTTTGGTGGTCTTAACCTAGTGTATAAAGTTTGAAAAATATTGGCCTAAGATAAGAAAACAAAATGAATGGGTTTTTGTCTTGACTCTACATTGTGTACTTTACAATAATTGTTATAGTAATTTTGGAAACGACATTATATACCTAATTTAAGCTCCTTGTTTGGTCTATTTAAGTTCGGTGTTAGTACTTATTGATTGTTTGATCTATTATGACTTGTTTTTGTCTTTCTTTTCTGTTTTTAGGAACCAAAAAGGAATATGCCTTTGATATATCTTCCAAATGCAAAGCAGTGGTGACTAATCGGTGCAACCTCAAAGTTGTCAGAGAAGTATTTGACAAACTAGACAATGCACATAAAGATCGATTTTTAGAGTCTTGCTTCCGGC